TTTTGTTAAATCTATTTATTTATTGTTATCAATATTAATCCAACTGATTTACATTAATTGAAATAGAAAATTAATTTATGCAAAATTTTATGATTTTTTTTCTAGAAAAAAAATTTTTTTATAATTATTTTTTTGAATTAAAACGCCATCAGTTTTTTTTCGTTTTTATTTTAATCGATTAAATATTTTATTTACTTAAATGAATTAAAGTTCAATCGTATCTACTATTCTTGTCATTTTATTTAAAGAATGAATTTAAAAAAATAATCAAATATCTTAGTTGAGAAGGTAAAAAGTAAAACTTATAATTATTCCTAAATAAAATTTCATTAAAAATTAATTATAATAAACTGACGCCAAAACTATCAAAGTGTTACTTTGTTTGTCTATATATTTATAACTATTAATAAGGTTTCAATTATTTGCATTAAGATGGACAAAATACATGCTTAGTTAGTGTCCAACCAAGTTATATATATATATATATATAATATTTTTAAAACAAAATGTTTTATGACTGTCAAGTTTAAGACATTACTGAATAAACAAGTGATGTATATATGGTTGCATCTTTGCCTACCAATTTTGTTTTAGGAATTAGTATGTGTATGTATGTGTTTATCTAATCTGATAAACTATCTTATCCAGTCTTTCTATCACTGTGGTTTTTCCTGTTATCTCTCTCTCTCTCTCTCCTGTTCCCTGTCACTTACTTAGTGATTTTATTCTTTTCACGAGGATAGTGACTAAAACTATTTTTTCTGAAAAAAAAAGAAAGTAATACTTATTTTTAGTATATTCGTGGTATCCGCTAGTGCATCTCAACATCAGCATAATTTATAAACATATATATATATAAGGTTAAAAATAGAATTCATTTTATTAAATGTCAAATATTACTTATACACAGTTTAACAGTAGCAAAAATGTCAGCTTGTCTAGTTTACAAATAAAAATACTGACTTTACATTGCTTAATACAAACTATTGAAATCTAAATTTCGTATAAATATAAACAGTCATAAATCATACAAGTATAAAGTCTTGAGATAATCTTCAATTTAAATAAAGCAAATTTTATTTAATATTTATCATTGTTTCAAAGTTGATTCTACAGTAGGAATACTCCAAATAGAATTGACGTTGAAAATAGTCTTTGATCCAATGTAAGATTCATCAGTACTGTACAACTTTTAATGTGTATCAAAATTTATCTAATTCTATTGTAATCATACTCATATAGAATGACAAAAATAATAATAGGCCAATAAATAAAATGTAATGTAATTAAGATATCCGGAGATTCCTAAACGTTCTATCACTCCTTTCTATGGATTTCAGCAATTTTTCAGTAAATAATTATTTTAATGTCGATATTAATTGATTAAATGTGGAATTCTACAGTGTATTATGATAGATTAGATAGAAACTAGGTGTTTTAATAAGGAAGTGAAGTAAACATTTTGGAGCTAATTGCTTTTATACATCAGTTCTCATTGACCAAACTGATTTTAGGTCTTATGTTTACACTCATACTATAAAACTTGTCTTTGAAAAAATAGAACTTGTGATATCTCAGTGATTAACTCTTGAAATATTCAGTGTATTTTACAGATACTATTTTTTACTAATTTAAGTGAAAGATATTCCGCGCAAAATAAAACCAATCAAAACATCACATTGTTAAATTATATAAGGATGATAAATTCCCTATTCAATCAATTATGGGGATCATAAGATAACATCCACTGTTATTCTTTTGTTGTGCGTAATACATTGATTTTGATTCCTTAATTTTTTTAAGTCTACAAAAATACGAAACAGATTATATAAATAATTCCATTCAGTCTATATGCAAGAAAGTTTTGTTGGCTTATAGAAGACCTCTGATAGTATAAATACAAAACGATAACCTTTAGAAATGGAAAAAGAACTGTGATATCTTCATGTATTTCTAATTATTTATGTCATCAAGCGTTATATATATATGTTGCATCTAGAGCTTTGATTCTTAATATGCCGCGAACTACTAGATTACTTCAACGATAGAACCCGCAACGTCGCAAAGAGAGAAAACAAAGGCTAGTAAGTAGGAAGTTTATTCCCCAAATCAGTGTCAAAATATAGTACAGAAATCTCATGTATTTATAGTTGTTTGGCTGAATGTAAATCATCATTTCGGTCAACCAATAGGCACGTAGGGGTCATGCTAATCCATCTAATGGGGAAGCTACGCGTCGACATTCTAGAACATTCCCCCAGCCGTGATTGGATGGAATGTCGGTGGCTCTTCCTGGGCTTCTTAAGGCTTCCCAGAGTCTACCGACGAGCCGTCCTTACAATACATATATATATATATTCATTTGTATTGGTTATTTGAATCCTCCCGTTGATATTGAAGACTCTCTTATTGGCACATGTACATCTTAAATGGAACGTTTCGATGTTGCCATTGACTCATACCCGTTATAAAGATAGATGGAGGTTAGCAGAGGAATTCAGGACGTGCATTTCATTCTATTTTGGACTCGTCAGCAGGATTCACATGTAACCCAGAGTTGATGCTCACTTCAGAACTTAAGCCCAGTACCGTTCACTTCAAACGCCATCGAGTTATCCACTTAGCTACTGAGTCTAGATAGCCACTAACTTGTGCTATGAAGTGAAGTTTAACTCATTTATATTATTTTTTCGAATCTTCCCAGTGATATCTTGGAGTAAATATTAACTTTAACATACCGTTATATTCAACTGATAACTTTCAGATAAGACGAAAGGCATGTCCTGGATCCCACTGCTACCCACCATTTATCACCGCCCATATATATGTATTAAAATGCTAAATAATAAGTTTTATAATTTTTTTAACTTTATGGTTTATACATTTACATTCATTTATACCCATAATATAAGTAAAATTAATAAACATCTAGACATTTAAGTATTATCTATAACATAAATTCAAGTTTGTTATTATCTTCAAATATCAATGGATAAACATAATAAATCATGTAGACATAAGAATGTCTCATGATAAACTGAATATTAGAAAACTAATAATTCAGCTGTTTTTACTTGATATTTTTTATAAAAAAAAGTAATTTAAACATTAATTTATCCAAATATTATTAGTTTCAAATCTTTCATTATTTTATAGTTGAAATCATGAGCCAATTGAAGTTAGACCATCATAGAAAACTTAGAAGTATTAGACGGCTGTTTCGTCCTATCATGGGACTTCTCAGCAGTGTGCACCCACGATCCCACCTCGCAAGATTCGAACCCAGGACCTACCAGCCTCACTCGCGACCACTGAGCCGGCATCCAACGGTGTTAATAATAATTAATAGTAAATTTGATAAATTTATTTATTCAGTAAACAGAAACCGAATGCGGTCATCCTGATTTCCTTTAATTGATTGAATAATATAGCATGTGTTGTTCATTTCTTTCTTTTACATAGAATTTTAAAATTATTTAGATATAAGTTTTAAGGTTTCAACTATTTATATTTGATACATTAAAAGTTCCTATTTGATAGTGTAGAAATAAATGGTCAGCTATTAAAACGAAAAGGTTTACTTTATTAAAAGAAAATGGATGCAATTAATGTTTTACATTGTTTATGTAAGTGAACGTTTACTAAATTTTATGAAATGAATAAATAAATAATATAAGTAAGTGATGGAAATTTTCTGATAGTGTTCATTTATTTCCTGTGTTCAAGTTAACAGTCATGTATCGTAACCTAATATATTTTTCAATACATTAACAGCACTGTTAAACAACATATATTATTACTGGTAAGGGTTTGTAGGTATTGTTAAATTTTACAGTTAGCACCATAGATTGCTCAGCAGACGCCCAACGTCAAGATCAGCAAGCTGGATTCTGTAAGGATAGGTCGTGCAAAGACCAAATCACGACACTACACGTCATTGTTGAACAATCAGTTGAGTGGAACTCGTCACTATGCATCAACATTGACTAGGAAAGAGCATTTGACAGCGTTGATAAGAGAACATTATGGAAAATTCTTTGACAGTATGGAGTACCTGAGAATATTGTCAAAATTATACGGAATTCATACAACAGACTACAGTGCAAAGTCATGCATGGAGGACAGATACATTCCAAGTAAAGACCAGAGTCAGGCAAGACTGCTTACTCTCCCCCTTCCTCTTTCTTGTTCTGGTTGACTGGATTATGAAAACCACCACATTTGAGGGAAAACACGAAATACAGTTTATAAGTTTGATGCAACTAGACGATTTGGACTTTGCAGATGACCTGACCCTTCTATCGCATACACATCAACAAATGCAGGTCAAGACAACCAGTGTAGCAGCAGTCTCCGCCTGCATCAGTAGGCTTCAATATACACAAAGGAAAAGGCAACATCCTCAAATACAACACGGAGAATACCAACACAATCACACTTGATGGAGAAACTCTGGAAGCAGTGGAAAGTTCCACATATTTAAGAAGCATCGTCGATGAACAAGGAGGATCGGATGCAGATGTAAAGGCGAGGATTCGTAGACCGAAGGCCGCATTACAACAATTGAAGAACATATGGAATTCAAAACAACTCTCAACAAATATCAAAGTTACAATTTTCAATATGAACATCGAAACGGCTCTACTGTACAAAGCTGAAACTTGGAGAACTACCACAACCATCATCAAAATGGCACAAGTATTTATAAATATTTTTCTACACAAGATGCTCAATATCCATTGACCGGATAACATCAGCAACAGTTTACTGTGGGAGTAAAAACATCAGCTTCCAGTTGAACAGAAAATTAGGAGAAGACGTTTGAAGTGGATAGGACATTCATTACGCAAATCATCAAACTGAATCATGAGGCAAGCCCTAACTTGGAATCCTGAAGGGAAACGGAGAAGAGGAAGACCAAAGAATATACTACGTCGGGAATTGGAAGCAGACATGAAAAGGATGAATAGCAACTGGAAAGAACTGGAAAGGATTGCCTAGGACAGGGTTGGATGAAAAGTGATAGTGAGCGGCCTATGCTCCTCCAGAAGGCGTAACAGACGTAAGTACCATAGATTGATTTTAGTTAAAAAAAAACTGGCCTCATAGCACTGGATACCTATCTTGACCTAATATGGCACCCGACACCAGGGGACTGACGTTTAATAGTTTGCATAATAGGACGGAAAAATTACCCAGTGATTTTTAGCTTTCAACGATTGATCAACCAAGACAAATGATTCATATCAACTTAAGAAGATATACAATAACGCTTTATTTCACTTGTTTAAATGATTAACTGGTACATTCATTGAACAAACATCCCACTATTCTGTACCATTAATTCTTAGCATAATAGAATAATAAAACTTAAAGATTAGAAAATTGAAAACTCTACTATAATTCAATTAATTTTTATTGATTAATGTGTTTTACCCTTGTCAAAATTTATCATAATATTATTGTTATGAACATCATTACTGCTTTTTATTATAATTTTTTTACTGTTTAACAATATCAGATAGATTAAGAAAGAAACCTATTTCAGAAAAAATGAAATTTGAGAAATAGAAAAAAAAACATTGAAGAAGGCAAGAATTGAAGAAATCTCCCTCTTCTTCTCAAAAACAATATATATGTATATAAGCTGATTTTGAAGGTAAAATAATTCAGAACAAATGATACCCTGTATTGTATGTGTCTGAATGTATGTAAGCGTCTTTGTCTATCTTTTAAAAGACTTTTAACTTATGCAAAAATAAGTATATAGTAGTTCTTTTACAGTTCAGTCAGTTTATATTCGAATTCAATTGTCTTTATTATTGAAAGTTAAAATAAAGGATGAATAGTCCTGGGTTGTTGTTTTTTTGTTGTTGTTTGCGTTTTTATCATTTTGACTATGAATAATGTAAATACAAATAAATGAGATAAGCATGCCTATCATATTAGAATTAATGAAGAACAATAAACTATATAATGAATGAATATTAATACAAAAAACAATACAGAAAAAGAAGAAAACACTTTTCCAGATCTCTTATAAGTAGAAATCAACAGTAAACAAATAAATTATAAGTTTTTTATATAATTTGCTTCAAGTACATTCAGGTGTTTGTATGTCAGTGAATATCAATGAATGATTTCCCAGTTTCTCACTTTTCCCTAATCCATGTCATTTACATATGCTTATTTAAATGTTACTTAAATCTATTCTATCTATTCAAACACCGGAAATAAACCGCAGAATTTTTTGTTCATTCATTTTATTTTTGTCCCCTTTTTTGGTTGATTAAAATGATTGAAGTCAAGGTGAAGAAAAGGAAATAACTTTACATTCATTCACCAAGAAGAAATGAAAGAGGTTTTGTCAAAGAAAAACAAATACTTGAGATATTCTTCAAATGATCCACCATTTATTTATTTATTTTTGAAGAATCATTATTTTGTTGAACCAATAATACCTAAAGAAGTTGAATAAATATTAAGTCCTTCATTTTCAACTACATCATTATTTTTACATGATGTCATGGATGGTGATGGTGTAGTAACAGTATTTATGCCTAAGATTGTATCATCCGAAATACTATTATTATGAATAATTGAACTATTGGTAGTAGTTAAAATATCTTCAGAGTTTATAAAATTGTTACTGTCTGTATCATTGATACGATAATTTTTAGGTGAATATGATATTGTTGTTGGTGTCGTGTTATAATGCGATGACATTAGATAAGTATTATAATTTGTCGATACTGTAGACATTGTATCAAGACTATTGGAACCATAATTATGATATGAATGATGATTTAATGAATATCCATTTGATGTGTCGAAAGAATTAGAACACGGCATCACAGTGGAATAGCGAGGATTATTTTGTTGCTTCTGCTGCTGATGATGATGAAGATGGGTAGTATTACTATTATTGTATGGACTATTTACTGTTGTATAATCTATACCAGAGCTATTAAATGGATTATTTGTTAATATATTACACATTGGTGATGAAGAAGATAAATTCGAAGGAATTTCATTTATGTCATCTGAATATATTGAACTATGGGGTAAACGATTATTTACAATACTAACACGATCTGGTAGCGTATAATCTGTTGGCATGACAAGTGAATCTATTCCATTAGTCTTTGATGAAACATCACCAACGCATTGGTCACTACGATTATTATTATTAGTAGTAGTAGGGAATCGAATCAAATTATCTTGACTTGATGAATTGTTTACCATGGAACTATTGCCAAAGCCGACAGAAGCTGCAGCGGCTGCAGCAGCAGCGGCTAAATAAACATCATTTGATGTAGGATGATTTGAGAATCCTATAAATAATAATAACAATAATGACAATAATATGCGCTTAATATTTAATCATAATTTAAGGACTCTAAATTACTTGGTGTAATACAAAGAAAATGTATAATCCTTAGAAATATAAATTTTTCCATTTTCTAAATCTCAGTAAATATTTCAACTTATCTAAAACATATAATCATATGTTTTATCTGACATGATTACAGAGAATTGTTCATCCAATACAGTAAGTTACTGACTTCTATTTTAGGGTATTTATTGGTTAGAAAAAATTATTTGGAAATATGATAAGTGTTCATTTCTCTTTAGAGTACACATACATTTAATAAACTGCATACATTTTTCATAGCCATTATGCATCTCTTCATCCCTTTGATCATACATGGGGTTCATTAAAACTTGAGATCTAAAAGAACTAGTTGATTTGCCGCTTGATAAAGTCGGAATATCTCATCATGTAAACGATTAGGAAGATAAGATAAATCTAATAACGGTATCAGTCAACACATAAATATATGGCAGTATGATTCCTAGTACTAATGTAGTGACCAAGAATACGAGTGGGGACAAGCAAATGCATTTGAATCTGAAATTATAGAATTTCTTGGTAAAGTCTGAGAACCATGCAGTAAATACTTCGTTTGCAAAATATACATCAAGTGTCCCAGACTTTATTGTTCCTTCATTTCCATACCGATCACTCTCTGTTCTCGTTCTCTTCTCTTTGATCTTCTCAACCTTCTGCTGACAGGCATTCCACTTTCGATTAGTGACACATACTAATTATATCTGTCGAGATCGGTAGCACACACCCCACTAACTGTTGTTAGTATGCTGTTTTTATTTAAGATATATTAATTTACATGTTATTTTCATCACAAGCTGTTAACGTTTGATGCTAAAATTTTATCGCTGGATAAGTGATCAGTTTTAGACATTCATGTTTATAGGTAGACATTTATAAATAGCTGTTTTTGAATTTGTTTTTGACTATACATTTTATTTCCACTCAGGTAATCGTAAAACACAATGATAATCCAGTATCGTTTAAAGTCTCAAATTGAATTAATCAATAATTTCATCAGTCTAATTGTAAGCTGTCAGAAATAACTCTACTAGGTTAATAAATCTTAAGCTTTATGTCCAGTAGTAGTTTCATGTTCTAACTATATGTGTTAGAATGTAAGATCACGTTCAACATAACTTCCGTTTTTAATTCAGTTTGATAACTGCTCAGTATAATATTCAATCCATTTTCAGTGAAATATTTATTCAGAATTATATTCTTTATATTAATTTAGTGTGAACTTCATACAGAAAACTGTTTTGTTGTAATTCTGTATATTTCCCCTCTACATAGTATTGGTTAACTTATTATGAAATGTGACTAAAACCAATGTTTGAATCGGTGTACTGGTTAAAAATTGGTCAATATGCCTCGGAAAATGAAATAAATATACATCTGCATCACTTTTTGTCCTCTTATTTACGTCATGAAAATCGCATCAATTTCCTGTTTTACGTAGTCTGTGATTTTAAATATTTGATCGTTAATAAATTGAATATATATCCTTACCAGCTACTGCAGCGGCTGCAGCTTGAGCTGCTCTAGTATAAGCTGAATACGGTGGACCACCTTCCATATAGTCTATACATGGGGGTATATTGTCATTGATTGAATAACCATGTGGTCCTGTACATTAAAGAATTTAAAAAAATCAATTAAGAATAAAAATATTTAATAGAAGTACAAATATTTAATGAATAAATGACTTTCAATTGATAAACAAAATTGTATCCAATTCAATTTGTTTCTATTTTTAATTAAACTATTTTCTCCTATATAAGATCTAGTTCATTAAGTAAACATTTCAATCATTATAATTTGACTGTCAAAACCATCCCATCATTTTTTTCTAAAAAGAGGGGGAGGCATAAAGTTCTCAGTAAAATATTATCCTATTTTAATTAGGTTATAATAAACTTGTAAATTTTCATGTTGAAAAATAAATAAAGAGAAAATTATGTCAATTTATTAAGATTGATATAAATCGAAACCGTCATCATGTAATATGTTACTATTTATTTCATAAGATTGATTAAATGAATTATTAACTAATTCTTGAAGAGAATAAGAACAAACGAGAAGCGTACTACGCTCATATGATCTTGAGATAGTGGAGAAGATTTGTAGCTCAGGTGGATAGTTTTGGTGGAGTTTCGTTCTCTGAGCTGGATGGTTTGGTCGTGGAGCTTTCATCGTCCTTCGAAACGATACAATCACAGATTTAAAGTTAACAAGAACCAATCAGCATCGAGATGTACAGGACAAGCTGTGAACCACATGTGGAGAAATTTGAACACTTCACTTCTACCCGAAGTTTATGCTGATGATGTCGTTCAGAAGGACGATGAAAGCTCCACGACCAAACCATCCAGCTCAGAGAACAAAACTCCATCAGAATAAGAACAAAGAATTGAAAAGAATATTGTGAGTTCATTTGTTTTTTTATTAGGTTCTCATCAACTACTTACAATCAATAAGTTTTTCAGATCAAAACTGTCACATATGTCTTAAAACTCCTTAATCTACCATAATGATATACATCCACATCTAACCAGTTTTACTGTTATAAGTATATAAACTTTACGATAGTTTTGATCTGAAAAATTTATAGATTGTAAACAGGTGATGAGAGCCTAACGAGATAAAAATGAATTCATAATATTCTTTCTTCTTGTTCTCCTCAATATAATATAGGAAATTAAGTGTATGATATTAACCAATCATTCACATAATCCATTGTTTCTTGATCAATTAGACTATGAACAATGAAAGTAAACATTCTGTAGTTTGATCATCACACCAGTGAATAAGTTTGGCGCCTGACTGATATCTAGCATTTGTTTTTAAAAAATGCTACTTCTTCAATTAGGTAACAAAATAATTACCACAATATCACTTAATGTAGCTTGACAAATCTACAACAAGGCAAACTGCACGAGATTGATAAGTAATATTTATCCAAGTCGAGTAGATTTAACATTCCAAACTTCAGATAAGTATACACGAGACTAGCAGTCAAATAATAAGATAAACGATACGATTAGAAGGGATTTAATTTCATTTTGTAGAATTAAAATAATTGCCCAGCGTACACATGTCATTATGTTGAGACTGATATCATCAATGGGGTTAAAATCATACGTCAATGTTTTCAGTTCCAGTTCTTTAGATAAATATGTTTATTAATGATTATGTATAAGATAATCAGAAATTATTTTCCACAATAATACATTTCTCACCTGCTCTATTAGACTGATCAATCATAGGTTGTACAATTCTTCGACGTGCATTAATAAACCTACATGAAGAATAGAATAAAAATATAAAATGATAATGAATAATTAATTAAAAAATGATGCTGATTAAGTCCATATTATTTATCACTGTACTCATATTCTCGTAAGTATTCAGAAGTGAAAGTGGTCTTTAAACTTTATGGAAATAATGAATGCCTTTTTGATGAACAGTTTTTAAACTCATCTTGAAATACAGTTAAATATTTCTTTTAAAATACTGTATCCTAAACTTCACTTTGTATTAAATTATAAAACATACAGTTCTAATTATTTTAGGTAAGATAACACGTAATTTAATACTTATATCATATAAAAAGATCATTTCTAATTTTACTCATCTAATGGTTATATTACAGAATTGAAACATTTTACATTATGAAATAAACTCAATGGCAAAGTTATTTCGTCATTGTTTATGATACTTCATCAACATTTGCACAAATCTCATATGTAATCAGATATTATACTTTCAAATCACTAGGGTAAAAAAATAATTACTAGTCAATGTGTTGATAATTTGTTATTATAAGTTCAATTTGTACATGAAGTGTTGAATTTATACTGTTGAGTAGGTTTAAACTACAATAAAAGTAGTTAGATTTAAATAAGATTGTTTGCCATTATTACTGATCTAATATTGTCGAATGTTGAAAATTCTCTCTGAATGACAAAACATTACCGAACAAACCATCCGGGCCATTAGGAAGGAGAACACACGATATATTTACTTTTTTGAATGCTTTCATAAATAAACTTGATGTATACCAATTTTTAAGAGGATTAATTTGTTAGTTTGTTAACTTACAAATTAGGATTAATAAGCTAGGGAGTTAAAGCCAATTTCAAAACTTTATTCATAATGTGTCGTAATACAAAACCTTTTCGCTGAGCATCTCTTTTTTTATTGATTTTTTTTGGTAATTCGAATATTTAGCCAGAAGTATTGTAGTGTATGCTACTTATGCGGACAAATATAAGTAATATGTGGCTCTAATTGGAAATAGAAAGCCTGCTAACAGAAGATCGACTTGAAGAAAACAGCGAGGGTAACAGAGATCAGTTATAACAACAACAGAATTTGAGGGATCATAAAGTCTGTAGAGAACAACTGAGGAAAGATGCGCAAATAAGGTATTTAATCAATGGTTTTCATATTTTATAAAGACACTGTATAATTTGGTATTAAATAATAAGTTGGTTCTTCCCCACCGGAGTTCTCATTCACTACAGTATAATATGAAACTCTAACAAAATATGCAATTAATCTAATCCATTTGTATCATGTTGTTAAATAACACACCTAACTAAGTTTTTAACTAAACAAAATTCAAATAAACATAAATGAAAAGCCACTAATTTTTACTTACCAATTATTTACTTGTAAAATAGTTAATCCTGTATCTTGAGCTAATTGTTTCTTTTGTTCTTCCGATGGATATGGATGCTTTATAGTAAAAAAATAAATATCACGTGTATAGTATATTACTTGAATATTTACGTTTATTCTATATATACCACATGAAAAGTAATGGATGACTTAATAGCATAAACTATCATCAAATACAAGGCTCATAATGTATGTTAATTTGAATGCATCAAATGATTATATTAACTTAACAATTTGTGATGTCATTTTAAATAACATAGATTAAACTAATGAACTGAATCAAATAATACTAACATAGATAAACAATCGTTTTTACATTCAACTAGTTTTCTATTCTTTAATATACCTTCCAAATGATCAATATTTAGATGAAATGATATTTAAGGGTATATACTCTTTAACTATATACATCTCCTTCTAATTATATACATTGACTACTATTGATAAAAAACTTTATTCATCAAAATTGACAGAATATTATTTCAAGTCGAAGTATATATTTTTTGTTGAAGTAACCAATGATTAGCACCTGAACTTAAAAGTTATTCAACCACAAATAATGAAATGTTCGGGGAAAAAACATCCTTATAATTGTGAATAACAAAAAAGAGAAAACTCATCATTTGAATCAAATTAATTCGATGATGCATAAACACTGACAAAATACATATTGAATGTTTTTTTTTAATTTATTGTAATCAAGTAAAATAGTGTCATCATAAATCAACATTCTTATCAAAATGGGTTTTGTGGAGATTTCAGTATTTTCATAGTTGAAAGCGTGAGTCAATTGAAGCTAGACCACCACGGAGAACTTGTAAGCACTGGAAAGCTGTTTCGTCCTATCATGGGACTTCTCAGCGGTGCGCATCCACGATCCCACCTCGCGAGATTCGAACCCAGGACCTATCAGCCTCGCGCCAGAGCACTTAACCGATAGACCACTGAGCCGGCATTCGATGGTGTTTATATCCAACTCCAACCAATCCACGAAGTTGAGCAACCGTTCATCAATTGTCTTCAGTGAGTTCCTATCTCACAACAGATGTGGTTGAACTCCACTGGTCACTGCTTCTCACTAGAACTCCCGTGTTCACCTCTCGAAGTCAGTCATTAGTGAGCATATGATTATTATTATCAGAATGGGTTTTGTGGAGATTTCAATATTTTCATAGTTGAAAGCATGAGTCAGTTGAAGCTAGACCATCATGGAAAACCTATAAGCACTGGACGGTCGTTTCGTCCTATTGTGGGACTCCTCAGCAGTGCGCATCCATGATCTCACCTCACGAGATTCGAAACCAGGACCTATTAGTCTCACGCCAGAGCACTTAACTGATGAGCCACTGAGCCGGTATCCGATGGTGTTAATGTCTAGCTTCAATTTACTCATGCTTTCAACTATGAAAATACTGAGATCTCCAGAAAACCCCTTCTGATAATAATAAAGATTGCGATTTTAGATTATAATTTTTTTTTAAAGAAATGAATAATTAGATATCATCAAGAAGGAAAGAAGTACTAAAGATACATTTTACATGTCTGAATAAGTTCATTAACTATATTACTGGAATATAGTCTATTCAGGGAACTGACTGCATTAATAACCAATTGAAGAATTTCATAATTATTTGTTTACTACATTAGTTATGTTTATCATTCTTAGAACTCAGTGACTTCGCTACTTAAAATGTTAACAGCAGCTTCGTGTGTAAGAATTACCTGTTTAGAAAGTTTTAAATGTAGTGGTGTAATTATTAATTAATTTCAAGTTGTCCATAATGCTCAGTGATATACATTTTTGAAATTATGTCACTGACAAACTGAATTTGATGTATAATTACCTTCAGAATATCTCATGCACGGCTAGTAAGTTAAACTGGCTAAAGAAAAATAATCATCATTTTTACGTAGAGCCTTCTAGTCAATCTACCATAGTTAAAGTTGCCTTAAAATAAGAATTATTTTAAAATATATAAAGAATTATCGCCTCAAATATAATGAACAGTACAAGGAAAACACTATAATAATGATAGTGTAGTAAAAAAGAACACCGGTGGGGACAATCGAATGTATTAAAGCACAGATTACAGATTATCTCACTAAATTTTGATAACCATACAGTAGATAATTAATTTGCAAAATAATCAATTGGCTCAATCTTAACTGTTCCTTCTGCAAATATCAGTCCATCTTCTCTGATTTCTTTGTCCATGCATTTTCATACCAATTAAGTTACGTTTCGGTTCCTACCTTATCAATCTTCTAGTTAAATACATTCTATACCTGACCATCTCCATATACTACTTATGTGGATATAAGTAGGCCACACCACAGTCGTCCTGCTTTAAAGCATTCGTTCATGCGGTGGTTAGGTACAGAATTCACTTATTAAAAGTTCACGCTTTGAGCTCATCAAATTTTGAAAGTGATCAGTTGTGTTCAATCATTCATTTTGGTTGGAATATTTATGAAACTGAATATTAATTCACATATAAACCTTCTTACATTGTCACAATTCTTTACGAAATTATTTCAACTTTGCTGACAAAAACCTAGACCATTTTCAAGTGGGAAACGTCAAACTTTATATCCAAAAATACTAAAAAATAACAAACTTTAAAACAATGCACTTTACAAATACCATTTATTAATAGGTATTTTAAACTTACCGTTAAATGTTGAAAAAGCCATGCTCTCATGATATTTGTAGCAACTTTTGGAAATATTCCGCGCTTTTTCTGCCTTTTTAAATCATTTCTAGTTTCCGAGTCTAATTCTTCCATAACATCTTTCTGTGATCCTGTGAAGTGAATAACAAAGATAGAAAGCATTTTAAAGAAACCCATAAAATTTCTTTTCACATGTAAGAACAAGATTTATTACAGTTTAGCGAATCAAAGCTAGAAATATGAAAGAAAAGTTATTTTATTTGTTGAGAATTGGGTAAATACCACTATTTCATGACACGACTGTAAATATCAATTCAGTTCTAGATACTAGGGATTGTATGAATGTCTACATGATCAATAGAATATTTAGGAAAATATGATGATGATGATGATGATGATGATGATGATGATGATGATGATGATGATGATGATGATGATGATGATGATGATGATGATGATGATGATGATGATGATGATGATGATGATGATGATGATGATGATGATGATGATGATGATGATGATGATGATGATGATGATGATGATGATGATGATGATGATGATGATGATGATGATGATGATGATGATGATGATGATGATGATGATGATGATGATGATGATGATGATGATGATGATGATGATGATGATGATGATGATGATGATGATGATGATGATGATGATGATGATGATGATGATGATGATGATGATGATGATGATGATGATGATGATGATGATGATGATGATGATGATGATGATGATGATGATGATGATGATGATGATGATGATGATGATGATGATGATGATGATGGAAGTCTTCGTCCAACTCTCGTCAATACAAATAAGACTAAAATGGGGTGGTAATCAGGTTCCAAAAGAAACTATGTTTATTTTCTAAAATCTTTTTTACCTAAAATCAGTCCTTTTAGGAAAATAAATATTCAAGGAGCTAATGTTTAATTAATGGAATCACCAAGATTTTGTTAAGATCTAGTTATCGATATCAAGAAAAAATAAGACAGTTCTTGGTGTTAGTTTATAACTTCGAAACACTTAACGCTCTCAAAAACGTCCTTGATACAACGTATAAAGGTTTTGTTGGAGTTAAACCATTAAATTAAAATCTTTTTTATCAATTAAAAACAAATATATAACGATATGTTAACGTTTATGATGTAAATGTATTCATATTTCCAACAATTGAAATGAAAATTTCGAAATACAGTATTCACATAATTAAGATAATTTACTACACTTTACTGAAGAAACAAAGAGGAAAATGAAGGTGCTTCTTTTAATTTCTATCTAAAGGCACTTATAAATGAGGAATATTACAGGGATCAAACCTAGGTATAAAACTTCGTATCATTCTGTTTATAATTGTTAACAATTAATGTGGTTTTACAGTGATGTTCAAACATTGAGCTAATTTTTCACAATTTAAATGAAGTCAATACACTCCTACTATTACTAAAGACTATATAGTTTAGCATATGTCATTACTCAATCATTTACTAGTAGAGTAAATTCTTTCTAAACTACAATGTTTAAATTGTGTTATGGTTCAGCTCGAAAAATATACAAATTATCATTCAATTGATTGATTGAACGGTTTCCAAAATATAATTGAACGACTATTTAAATACTAGTTATTAAATTATTGGAGTTTTGAAAGGAAACAGGAGAATACAAACCAGCTTCGAGCTGAAGAGGACATTAGGATAAGACGTTAAAGATGGTTAGGTAATACATTACGAAAATCATCAAACTGAATTACGAGATAAGAGCTAAGTTGGAATCCTGAAGGGAAACGGAAAAGAGGAAGGCCAAAGGACACACTGAGTCGAGAATTGGAAGCAGACATCAAAAAGTTGGATAAGAACTGGGAAAAAGTGGAAAGGATTGTCCAGTACAGAATTGTATGGAGAAGAATGGTGGTAGGTCTATGCTACATCACGAGGGGTAACAATCGTGAGTAAAGTTAAATTATTAATTAAAGTTATGAAAACAGTATAACTTTAATTTACTATTAATTGAAATTCATAATTAAACTAAGCTAATCACGTAAATGATTATTTGATTCTTGGGATATGTAGAATGAATTCATTTGCATCATTAACTAATTGTAGTAATTCTGTAACGTTCTTAAACTAGAATGCGATAACTTTCCAATACTTTCAGCTAGTGTATTTAAGTGGACAATGAAAATCGTCTTGAAGTTTATATTTTATTGTAATTAGAAATAGTTTCAATAAGAAATTCAGAAAGAAAACGTAATGATCATTTGAAGATTAATATTCTGTATTTATCTCTACATTCACTTGAAGTTCCGAGTGCTACGACTACATTAATAATCATTTATGTTATATGAATAAAGCGTAAATTACATATTAATCATTGTAACAAACACCAACAAAAGTAATAACCAGTAAATAGTATTTTGGAACACTTGTTATTTCATTACTACAATCTCGATCATTAATGTTACCATAAATCGTAAAACTGAACATTGACAGATTTTATCAGATTATGTACATCGTTTTTTTAATGAAAAAGACCTGTAACGAATTCAACTGTAAGCTTCTGTACATAGAAGTGTATGCTTCCTTTATTATGTTTAGTTAACATAATCATTCAAGTTAAATTATGTCCCCTCTCTAAAAATTATATACTGAATAATAGGTTAAAAAATGTCTGAGGGATATCATTGTAAATCTTGATTTCAAAAGACCAGTTTCAATAAAATAAGAACAAACAAATGAAGAAAAAAACAGCATAACAAAACTTTTGCTTATTTTTCCTTGTCAAGTCGGACATCAATCATTGTCATTTTACTGGTAGATATAACCCTGAAGTGTATATGTATGTGTATGTAGAAAACTGAAAGACAAGTTTTCTATAAATAGAAAGGTCGCGTGTTTATTTTGAATGAATTGCAGAAATACAATAAATTTATACGAAATTATGAACAAAACAAAAGCGGTAACAATCATAACAAAAAAATGTTTAATAAAACACAGTTAAAATGGAACAAAGTGATGAACGTGCGATTGTGGTTTACTAATAGTAGAGGGAGTGGAAATATCTAAAAGTTCCACATGAACTCAACCAAAATGTCTGTGCAGTAATATTTCCAATATGATTAGATTGACAAGCAAAAGATTATAAACCAGTTAGTTTAATTTCACTAAGACAAAAATGTGATTTAACTCATGAAAATTGGACGGATAAATGGTAGATATGAATGTAAGTCTGCAAACACGAACAGTTATAGTGTTTACTCATTCGCCCATTTGTAATGAGGTGACAAAAAGAACCACAAAAAAGAAACTTAAATCAAATTATAAACCAGATGGTAATCCGACTATTTAATTTTTTAACACACAACAAAAATAGCACTTCTGAACATTTATTTATCAGTAAATTATCTCTAAATAAATATGGAATCATGAGCTGACAATTTGATGAGTATGGTGTTTCTGTTTGTATGTGTGTTATTTATCTTAGATGAAAGAAAATCTTATTCCATATGGTTATTACTGTATTACTGTAATGATCATGGTTTGTAGGGAAAGATTTTAAATACATGTATATGAAGCAAAAATTTGAGGATGATGTTAATATACATATGTTTATTGTTTGTATATATGTGATTAAGTTTTCGAACGAACATTGAACAAATAATAAAAATGGATAATTCAACTTTTTGTTTCAATGTTAAGAAAACGAAGCTGATATTAATGATTGTTGAAAAAATTGTTTTAAGAGATTAGTTTAAGTGTTTAATTGTAGTAATAACATTTAAATAAACTTCGAAAATTGATAATAAGTCCCAGATTTTATATTTTAAGTGACAGAAGATTCACGTTCTCGAGTACTACGTTAAACAGTGACAGAATAGTTGAATAAGACTCTTCAGTTTTCAAAATGCTTTTATGATCATATTAGTGGTTGGTAAAAATTGTCTTCAAACTGGTTTATCAATTCTAAACTACTCAGTTTTAAAACGAATCATTTTCAACTTGGATTACCTGAACAAAAAGGATTTCATAACATATCTCGTAAAGTTAGTTGAGATAACATAACAGATCTTCGTCAGCAGCTTGAAATAATGATGACTTGAAAAGTCAAATTTTTTGACTTACTATCCTGTAGCATTCTTTTTTACAAGGATCATTGTGTTAGACTACATTGTTTAAAAACGTTTAAGACTGAACCTATTTACACACCATTTAACAATATATAAATAACATTCCAAAATCTCAGCAGAATATTACTTATAGTCACTGTGAAACATTCGACAGCAATTTAACTATGTGAATTACTTGCTTAAATCATCAACGAATACAGATATGCTGTTCAAAGTGAACGCGCTTCAAGATTGGATGTATGAAAGGTCAAAAATGATATACTACGGAGTTACAGCACAACTATTTACCCGAATAGTTGATAGATAGTTAATAAAGCTAGAATTTCAAGGGTATAATTCCAAAAGTAGCTACTCTATTCCTCTTTATTCACCTATTTATTTATTCTGGATACAAATAAAAAAATATTTTCTATCCAAGAAAAATACGGTTGAATTAGACAATACTCAAAATTAGTAAATAAGTGTTTGTCTGTTTTCCTTTAAAAAAACACACATGAAAATAAAACACAAACAATACAAATGAGAAGTCAAAAAAAAAGATTTCAGAGAAAGATTGAGGGAGGAGAGTAAACGTTAAAAATAGAAATAAGGATATCTTAAGTGTTCTAAATTTTTTTAATTCATCATGAAACTACACATATGATAAGGGGTTTCTATGTTCATTCCATTTGATATAGAATAAAATATGTAAAGAAGTACAGTATGAATGAATAAGTGGGTACGTACATGGTGTATGTTACCGATCTAGATGATTAATTTATTTTCCAATTCATTTAACTGTTTATTGACTGGAACCGTTTAACCTCCTATTCATTTAAACGATAAACCAATTTAATCAGTAAATAAATAATCAACACAATACACACACAAACACCCGGAATTTTCACAGGTGTATCCACTGTTGAAACTTCATATTAATTCTCAACCACCACCTCCCTATTTTGTTCGAATAAAGAAAACATTCAGGATAATTTAAGAAGGTAGACA